TTTGAGCAATGGTAGAAGTAGATACTTGTACAGCATGGAACTTGGAACATCATTCTTATAAAGTGCAAGTAACTTTCAACATTGTTCCACTAGAGTAGGCACTTGTATGTCTTTTTCAGTGATGTAGTATACCAATGGTATACATGAGCAAAGGCCATATGAATATGATTTGTTTATTATTGTTTTGGACTCTGTAGTAAAGGCTATATTAATCTCTCATCACTCTTATTGTTTGTCTTTTTTCTTAATCTTGGTTTTGGTCAATTCTTATTTTATCCATCCTTTTAACTCAATTAGAGTAGAATATTTTTCATTATTTTAATGTAATTCACAACATATTCCTGCTGTATCTCTTTCCACAAGTTTCTCATTCACGCTCTTACTTTGCTTCCTATTGAGCCTTTGGTTTTCACTAGACATTTGAGGGTTTCTATTACAGTTTTTCCTGTTATCTTTTGGACTAATATGTTACTGATAATTTTAGGAAATTATTTTCTTAAGATCCTTATATATGATGATGCTTTATACCTCTTTCTCATCTAAGTCTTCAGCTCATATATTTTCATTGTTTTCCTTCCTTTACTTTCAATGGAACAAAGGACTCTAAATTGTTATCTTAATTATGTGTTTTTTATTCTATTCTTCAAATCTTACCAGTTTCCTTCTGCTTATTCATTCAATAAAACTCTTCATTCACACAGTTTATGGGAATTGACTAGTATTTTCAGTGTTGTCTCACCAGATTGGCAGCTGGCAATATTCTTTAGCACGACTCAAAGCAAATCAAGGAATAAACTGAACCAACTTATTCTTTAATACCAAAATAAACAATTTAGTAGTAAACAAAATTACATTCTATTAAAACCATGTTTACAGGAGAATTATTATGTTTCATTAATGTTACTTATGTTAATATATATTACTGTTGGTGAATATCAAATTTTATGAGTACCATGTATGTTTTCTTATAATCTGCCTTTGAGACACTTATATGTAACTGTTTCACTGTTTTTCCCTCATGAGAATTATTATCCAGGTGATTCTGTATTTGTGGCTAGACACTTCTCTGCAAGAAATCTTCACTTTTAGCAGCCATATTGTTCTTCATATGTCTCCCTTGGGACTGTCATTTTATACCCATCTGGTCTGGACTTGGTCTCTTATTGCACTGTTTTGCGATAACTGAAATTCCTATTGTACAATTTGTGTTCTGAGGTGAAGTTCCTCTTGTGGCAGGTTTTCCCATTTTGTTGCTCAGTCATGTTAGAGTTAGAACTATCCATGGTTATATGCCTTGATCCTTGTTCCCAAACAAGTGTGGCTCTCCACAGAACAGAGTTTCACAGTATCTGCATATGCTACCAATATTTTGTCTTGACAGCATTTGTACAGTTTGTTTTACCACAGCTGGAGCACTCTCATGTCTGTGCCTACTTTTCCTGCTGTACTAAGGTAGGTCAGCAGCAAGTTTGTTGCTTACATGTTAGTGATAAAACCTGGGGTTTGATTCCCATAGTGGACAGACAATTCATTGTGTAGCTTGGTGCTAAAAATATTACCATTACTTTTCATCCTTAAGATGGATATTCTCTTCGACTTTCATAAAGACCATTTCTTATTACATATTTGTTTAGAGGCATGATACCATCACTGAAATTTACATATTTAGTTTTTATTGTCATTTTTGTCACAATACTGCACTAATGTGCTGTTTATCCAGATTAATCTAGAAGTCAGAATCACTATTTAGTGAAACACTTAAACAGCTTGTACAATATCATTGCAATTGCTGTTCCCTCAAGTGGATTTTTTGGAAGGAAGTGCATTTAAATTAAATGAACCTGTTTTAATTTTTTATGATTGGTCAACATGTTTTAAAGATACTAAGTGTAAATATTTTGCCATTTTTTCATCATAATGCACTTAAAATAATCAGCATTGTTGCAAACCTGCTAATCTCTTGGTGTAAAAAGACTAAATCAGATATGAAATTTAAGACAAATCAACATTCGAATTTTAACTTATCAGTGAAACTTTGGAACATTTTGCATTTAAATAATAGCTTTCATTTTATATATAATACTTAAAAAAACATTAGCTTCATTTCAGGGAGAGTTTATGTTCAATTAACAAAGCTTTGATTTACTTCTTGAAAGAAATGTAACTCTAAAATATTAATAGCAATTTTTATTTTCTATTTTTGTTACTTCTTTTATTAAAACCTTTTGAATCTGTTAACTGATGACTTGACCTCAGAATTTACTCTACATATTAAGTTTTTGTGTGAGTGATTCTTGCTTGAGAGAATGTTTAGACAGAGGAGAGTATACTTGAAAGGCATTGGAAGATCTTTGGATGACGTTTTGAGCTGCTAGATTAGATCTTCACGAGATCAAATTGTTCAGATTTTATCAGGTGCGGATGCAGCTGTAGTTGTGAGCTTTGTGAGTTGGAAAAGTATTTTATTAAGTAGGATTGAGAGTAATGAGATTGCAGCCATAGGGGAGAACTTACTTTCTGTGTGTGTGTGTATGGGTTGAAAGAAACTTATTGTGTAGTTTACATATATATAAAGCAATAACTGAGCTTGCATAGCTAGTTTACAAATGTACATAGTATTTTGTTTAAATAATTCAAAATAACTTTTTACTGATTTGTGTCAAGATGAAAGTTCTTTAGAAATTTAACACAGCGTGGCTGTACTTGAATCATACCACAGTTGTACTCCTTTGTCTCTGTTCCTTTATTATAAGTACTAATAATTAGCTAGAGTTTTAATAATTATTGTGTTTTTTAGGTCCTCTTCTCGTTCTGTAAGTTCAGAGCGAAAGAAAGAGAGAACTCCTGAAGGGCGACATGAAAGTAAGTTTAAAATTAATATAGATCTCTTTTTAATACTTAATGCTGGTGTGAAGTTCATAGGAATCATATTTCCTGATACTTGTTTATAATAACAATTAAATTTAAGAGTATACATTAGTTAAATTGGGGCTAAATTTCTTGCATATTTTTTTTTATGATTACATAAGTGGATATTTTACACTTGAGAGTCTTAGAGAACATTGTCAGTTTAGTCTGACTTACTACAGTTAATGGAAAAAATAATAATTATAAATGATATAGTTATTTCATCTTTTGGTAGTACTCATTATGGCATATTATTTGTTTTCGTAAATGATATGAAAGTTAAATATTATTTTTCCTTTTCTTTGTGTTAGCCTCTCCTCGTCGACAGCCTAGAACCTTCAGAGAAGGACTATCTACCAAAAAGCCTGTTAGACCAGGTTAGTGGTGTACAAGTGCTTATTTTTTGTATACACACAGCACTTTTTTTTGGGGGGGGTGGTTGATTTATAGTAGATTGATATAAAATTTTGTTACACATTAAAATATAATCTCTGTGTAGGTCATAGAATTTAATTTTAGCATTAATTTTTCAGTAAAACACTCGTCAAAAAACCAACATAAAAAAAGAGAAAATGGAAATGTTTTTTTTTACTTTTCTCATAAATTTCTTTGCACAGATCGAACAATGCTACAAGTATTAATCAAAGATGTATTGTACTTACTCTCAGCAATAGATGAGCAAGTTAATTATTAAATGACAAATATTTTTTTTGTCCAAAAGGTTCTCAAAACATTCCAAACTACATATAGATACCACATATCTCACTGTCCTTGATTATATATTCAATATAATGAACAAAATATGTGAACTTTGTAGAATTCTGGACTACGTCATGTGTTAATTTAACCCTAGGTGTTATTTTCTGTAGCAGGATTTGGTCAAGGAGGCTTTCTACTGTTTCATGGGATAGTTGTGTCTTACATCAATCTGTGTATGTAGGTCTGCTTACAACTGTCATTTAAAGCAGAGATGCTACCAGATACTTGTGATTTAGCTACAGAGAGAGTGTGTGTTCTGAGAGCAATTTTGTTTTTTCAGTCAAATTCAGTTTTTATAATGAAAGATTCAAAACTTGTTGTAGAAGTCTCATCTTTGTATCTCTTTATACCTGCTGATTATGCATGTTTTTGATGTGTATTGTAGGCTTAACAACAATCCTTTAGTTGCCTTTAAATAGTTTTATTTCTGTACATTCATGCCTTATTTTATTGTGTTTGATTTAAGTACAATTTAGTTTGATATTTTATTCAGTTTTATTTCTTATTATTTTACCACAACAGACATTTCTGCTCAACCAATCAGTCAATTTATTTTTAAAGTAAAGATTTACCGCTGTTTAACGTCATGCAATGTCTTCTCTATTTTTCATGGTTCCATAGATCAGGGAATCCAAAAGTTAGTGAATTTTATATTTTGCATTTCTGGCCCAGGAAATGTAAGGGAAGTTCATTTTACAGACAAAAACAGAAAAGAATTGGAGAATTTCATGTGACTTAGTGATGCTTCTAAAAATGGATGGAAAAAAATAAATTATCATTAGCACCAAAAAAAAATCATATACAGGATCATTCTTACACATTTGGAATGTCATTTATTGTCGTAGAGTATGAAGGTAACCTTGATAGATTATTTACACCATAGTTATGTTCCTACCTAAATGGAGCATAAGGGCTCTGGACAAGGCTTCATCTCATCTTTCTAAAACTATGTTATGAAGGATTGTTTTACAATAGGTTGAAACTAAAAGCCCTTAAATTACTATTTAGAGATAGGCTATTTTCATTAAATAAATTATTTTTATCTTTCAAATTCTAGTGCATTAATAAAACAGTTTCCAGGTCAGTAGTCTTAGTCTCAAAGAAGAAACATGCAATACCCTGGGTATATTACATCTTTGACATATTTGTATAAGACAGAATTGAAAGATGTCACAGAGAAAATTAACAGTTTGAATATTTCAATAATGCCTGGAAGTTCAAAGAATGGACAAATTTACTCAGTTTTGGGGAGTTTTTATTTCATATCTGTACTTGTATTTATTCAATTAATTATTAAAAATAACTAGATAATTATATGAAATGATAATTTATCAGTAGTTTTGTTTTAATTTGTTGCGAAATATAATATACATCATTAAGCATTGCCTACAGCATGACATCATAATGTGTAGTACAGCTTGGGCAGGGGTCGTTGACAGGTGATATCCTCCAGAAACAGGTAGATTATCACCAGTAACAATTAAGGAAAACCTGTATAAAACAAAATATGGGTGACATTGTATGATATCAGTAATTCAGAGATAACAACATGATTGGAGAAAAACAATTGAATTATGAAATATTGAAATATAGAATGTTTCATTGACAGTAACTAATAATATGGCATATGTAAGGTTTCCAAGAATAGAGCACTGTTTGTTATCCATGAATATTTGTAGTAACAGTTAAACTTGTAGAAGTAAATAACTAAATATTTACTGTTTACCTGATAATGTGCAATGCATTGGATATCTGAGTAATATATTAGGAAAATTTACTGTTTGTCAAGCAACAAACATGAGGCTAGAGACAGGAAAGAATGAAGACTGAAGGAAAAGATGAGCATGCACTGCTTGACAGAATTTAATTAATAGTTTTGATTTTATTTTAAAACTATGGGCTTTCAGACCATTGAATGCTTTTGAGATTGTGATGTTAATTATTAATTGTGCAGTCTAGTATGGTTGAATATAGGTGATGTGTTAGTGTTTTTCATTGTGCCTGAATATACCAAGGTTCATTACACAATAAAAGTAATGTAAATATTTTTCATAATATTTTTACTTAGTAGCAGTTTATACTTAATGTAATAAGCAGAACAAAATGAAAAACTTTGAACATGAGTTAGTTGAGTGGTGTAATACTATAATGCAGTATCACTGTCAGTGAAAAACATGTTTGCATACAGTAACATTAGTGTCTCTGCTAGTTACCATAACCTATACGAGTATGACTGGATGTTGTGATGGCTCAGAATTATAATAGAACTATAAACATTAAGATTGTTTTATCAGTAGGTCTGATTCCACGCATGAAGTATTCTGTATGTATAATTAGAATTTACAACTCAGGTATTTGTAAGTATAAATAGTTTGGTAATTTTATGAACAAAGAAACCTTGGGTAAACCTGAAATTTTTTTTGATAACATGACGGATCCATAAAAATATGGCTATGCTAATTCAAATATTTCAATAAATTTCATAAAGATGAATTTGATACTCACAGATTCAAAGCATCTGTAAAAGTAATACAGTGTGCTCTGGATCAGTGGATGATTGTTAACGTGTGCAATTGTTTTATAGGTATTGTAAGTATGATTTTACTAGTGTATGGTTAACAAATTAAAGTTTTGTACATTTTTATGCATGTGTACACACCAGAAAATATTGCTTTAATAAATATTTGACGTATGTTTCTTCCAAGTAATGAAAGTCAAACATAATAATCACAGTTGTTAAGATCTATATTGTTGTTCATGCTGTAATTACGTTTTTGTGACTTAAATTAAAAAGTGTGATTCGTATACACTATCATAAACAAATGGACATATTGTCTTTGTGGTATATATTTTGATGAATCCCCAGTAATGACAAGACAACATTTAAGCAAATTGGGACTGATACTATATAGCCTGTTTTGTCTTTATTAAAAAATACGTGAATAGTGTTTTGCAATTTCTCATTTTATTTTTGGTGATGGTACATTACAAGCATAGATAAAATGATCAGGGAAAAACATATTATGGTTAGGGAAACGTCAAAGAATTTCATTGTCCCAGGATTTGGGTACCATGTCTTTGATTCTTTCAGCAACAAATCACTACACAAGTTCTGTAAGTACTAGATTCACAAACTTCTTGCTCTTGTGAGGATCAGATAAACTGTGTAATTTATCCATCCTGAACCTTGAAATAACATGCTTATAGCTACATTAAATGCATGTGTTGCTACATCTTCCTACTGTTAAACATTTTGATAATTGATGGAATAAACTTGAAAGCCTTACATTACCTTACTGTTTTCTTTCTATATTATTGGTGTAGTTTGATATTTTTCTTCTTTACTTTCAAAAATGTAAAAAATAAAACTTAATGACGTTTATTGAATAAAATAAAATTATATTTCTAAATCTGATTTTACAAAAATTATAACAAAGCTATATTTTGTAAAGTTTGTAAATTTATTAGTAGTAAGCTTTGCCAATTGTTATCAAAGAATCACATGAGCACGATAACCATCTGAATCCTGCTTGCAGCTACAATATATCTGAGGCATTTTTGTAGGTAGCAAGAGCATGTTAAGTTGTATAGTTCACACTTTTTATAAAGCACCACACTGTTTGGATGTATGAATATTTGTTCCTGTGTGAGTGCATAAGCTGAATGTTAATCAAAAAGGATTTATTTTCTTGGATTGACTTATAATATTAATTTTAAGTTTGTATATCTTATTTGTTCTTAGAAATAATTGAAATTCTTTTTAAACATTTCTATTTCTCATATATTTGTTATATCTTCTATACAATTAAAAATAAAGGCACTCAGCAGTTTGTACTTGTTACCATTATATTGAATCAGGGTAAAATATATTTAAAGCAATAAGTGTAAAGTCTGTGTTTTATTTTTTTCAATCTAAGAGGCTTTCTCTTATCAAAACATCTTGAAATCTGCAATATTGTTTTGCACAAAGGAGCTGTAGGTGTGTTTTTCTTTAAGATAAGTTTTTATTCTTAATGTAATGAACATACCTAAAAAGACACTTTTGAATGGTTTATCAAAAAACACAATTTTTGGAAAACAAAAATCATTAAATGAATCTATAAGACTGAAGGTATTGTCTTAGTTAGGTTAATGAGAGCATATCAAGTAACTGTTTTCACTGAAACTTATTAGGGGTCTTGGTATGTATTTCATACTGAGGTTTGCAAAACTATTTGTCTAAGAAAACAAGAATGTTATATTTTGCTGGATTACTAAATAGCATTAAATACTTATCTTATCAAAGAGTACATATATATCTATATAAATATAAAATACTGAATTTATTTTATGATTTCCATTTGAACAAGGAGACGTTCAACAGAATTAATGGTGGGTACATAGTGATGTCTATATAGACAGTATTTGGTTTATAAATGGCTTCAATCTTGTAACCATCTAAATTGCAATTAGTTATTGAATAGTTTCAAACTAGAAAGTACAATAATGGGAATCTAAATGGAAACTGTTTTCTAGCTTCAAATATTTATCATGTGATTCTGTAGTTGGTATTCGACTGGGAGTCCCAGCATTTTTAAAATATATAAAATTACAAAGAAAGAATAAAATTTAGCAGCAAAATAAGTAATACTACATAGGATGACTGAAATTTCAAAAATAACCAGACAATTCTAGAAAAATAAAATTAAACAGGTTAAAAGTTTAATTAGAATTCAAAATAGAATGGTACTGTTTAATCATAATTTTTTAAAGTATCATATTTGAACAGCTTACTACTGAAACTGTAAAATAATTTGCAGAAAATTATGATTTGTTAATAGTATGTCTACATGTATGGCTAAAGAATCCATCAAAGAGGGATTGGTGTGCAATCTTTCAAATAAGAATAACTTACATCAGACAGTAGTTTAGAGTTGACTCTATCTAATGGTTGTATATGTAGGGTTCTGGTACTAGTCCATTCATAAAGGGAGCTTTTAATATAAGAGAGTATTTTTCATAAAAAGAGCTTCCAATCTTTAAATAACAACTAGGTTTCTATTAAATTAAACCAGTTTATTTTATGATTTGTGTTGGTTTCATATAGATCAGCAGTTTCAGAACATTTTTCAGTACTGACCCCATTTCAGAGATCCTTAATCTGTGTGATTCCATCTGTTTGAAAATGTGTTACACTGGCCCATTCAGGTCTTTTTGCTACATAAGATTTTTTCTGCTAAACTTATGACCCCACCAGAGATTTTTTGAGACCCAAGTTTTGGAAATCACTGATATAGGTGCTTCTCTGATCCTTTGTAATTTTTCTTTGTAGGTTTTAACAGACTAAATACTCAAGAATGTATGGAAAAAAATTGATTGAAATATTGTAACTTAATTAGTGTTGTGATTATTTCTTCATAGCATCTGTGCCTCGTGGTGAACCGTCCATTAAATCAACCGGTACAACAACTCCACCATATAGTAAGCCCCGTCCTGTGCCTCGTCAATCACCATACTCCACAGTAAATGGAGAGGATACAAAGTTGTGGGTGAAGCCAACTACAGCAGACCAGGAGAAGAAGAAGGATATAATAAATGGAGAAAAACTAGAAAAATATTTTGATGAAGGAGATGGAGTGAAAGAACCATTAGAATCAGAAGAAAAGGGAAACCATGAAATGCCCCTACAAACTAAAGAGAAAGATACAGTTCGTCCAAGTTTTCTACAAGAAACCAATGGATTCAATGGAGATGCTGAATCTAAAAGTAAGAAGACATAATAAGTTTACTTTAAAAAAAAGGTAAACTTATCTTTGAAACATAGTTGGCTTCTTGTTGTTGAGAAGAACTCTATCAGTACCACGTGACTTTAAGTTTTTAATGTTCTTGATGTAATGTAGTAGTTATGTCATATCTACCCATAGTTCTACACATTCTACATGACGTATTTGTGAATGCATTAGGAGACTATTTAAGCTCTAAATCCAGATTTTCTGTTGACAGATGTGCTGTTCACATTATTAGCTCTGCTTAGTATGCATTCAGACTTTATTGTTAACCCAGATACTAACACTTGTGTTAAGTTAGTAGTTACTACTCCTTCAGTTGAGGCCATATTTCCACATTTGGCAACAGATGTACATGAGAATTCCATGACTGCTTGATTAACATATTTTCTCTGGTCTTTTTCTTTATTAAGATTGTCTTCCACAAAATCCAGTTTGTCAGTAACTTCTAGATCAAGAAGTTTAAAATTTTCTTTTCATTGGTGTAATAGGAAATATGCATTGTGGGGTTACCAGGTTTTTACTCTCATCTGTTTGCTCTTCCAATGAAGACAGAGAAATGGAGACCTGAAACAGGTCTCCTTTTACTCCATCATCATTTCATTATGTCTCGTTTCAAAATGAAGAACATGAGATTGTTACAAACATTTCTTTGACGAAACCAATGGATGTTTATCTACACATCCCCATTCATCTCATCAATTTCTCAGGTTTCACTATCAATAAATGTTTTAAAAATTTCAAGCAATTCCCTTTTGACATAGCTTCAGTTCCATCCGAGTTTTGTTGAGAAGTCAGAGCCTTTGCAGGTCTTCAGTACTGACTCAGGATAATTTCCATTTTTACATGGACACCTGACTCATATTTGCTCTTTCATCTGTACAAGTTTCAGGCACACATACTGATGATCACCCAATTGGCTACATCTGATGGGTAGTTCATCCACACTTCCGAATCCCAGCTGATTTCTATTCAGTAGTTGGGATTGGTCACAGTAGACTTCCTTTTCATTCACAACAATAACTCTTCACAGGTGCATTTCTATAAGGTTGGGAAGCAGTTTTAGGAGATCAGTGCATTTCCAGCACTTGAACTTCTCTTGAGGCATTATCTCATATGAACTTCCTCTAACTCTGTATAGTTCATCAAGCATGTCAACAATTTTCACCCTCTCTCTATCACTAATCAGTGTTATTATATACATACAATTCCACAATAGTATCTTATATCAATCGTTAAGGAATTCTCTGTTTATTACAGTCTGCATTAAGTGGCTGTCTCCCTGTTACTTTGTCTTCACTCTCATGATGTTCATCTTCATGCTTGTCATATGCCAGGTATGATGAACATTCTTTGGACTCCTTCTCACAGGGTCGTTGAGTTATTCCTGTTTAATGGACTATGTTTCCTAAGGGTCTGTGTTAATACCTCAGTGTCAGATACTTTTACTTTTTTGTAGTATATATATTAAAGTAATTGTATGGGTCTGTTGGACTAAGGATTCTTCTACAGTAGGTGTATGCGACTTGTGGGCAATAAATTTGATGAAAAATGAACAGCATGCTCTTGGCTTATTTTAAAATAATATATTCAAAACAAGTTAAACATATTTACAAAAATTCTTTACACTATGTATATCAAAGTTGTATCTTAAATACTATACAGTTTTCTTCTTATCAAAAGTCCACTTAGGCCAATTCAATTGCAAAGCCCAAACTATTGTTTTCTTAAACACTATCAGTGTATAATTCATTTATTCCTTTTCTATTCTTCTCTTTTTTTTTTATCAAAAAAGTGTCAGAATTTTAAAATCTGTTCTTTGCCAATTGTCAAAATAAAAGGCTTTTAATTATTTCTTAATAGTATAAATATATACTATGTTGTTGTTGGGCTTAGGATTCTTCTACAGTGGGTGTCTATAATTTGTTAGTGATAAATTTAACGATGAATAAACAGCATGCACTTCATATGTTTGCAAAATAATATATATTCAAAACAAGTTAACATACGTACTATAAATATTATGGGTTTACCATAAATACTATATGTGTAGTTCTTTCCTTCTTTTCAAATATCCACTTAGGCCTATCACTTACTTTAGAATTTCATTTGACAAACCAAACTATCTTCTCTATTTCTGTCGCATTAGTATTCTCTGTGATTCATTTACAATTGTGGCGTGAGTTATCATAATCGTTCGGTCTTCTTTCTCCTGAAGATCCTTGTGCCTTTTGTCAAAATGCACCGAGACTGATTCAATTACTTTAGAACCATGCTTTGACAGAATATATTATTTTTTATCCCCATTTCTACTGTTAGATTCACTCTAACATATTAAACATTAGGGCTATGTCAATTGTTAGGCCTATCACTTCTACAGTATTTAACTTCATGCCAACTTTATTCTCTTTCACTATTATCTGTGTGCTTCTGTCTGTCTGCTGTTTCCCGCTCATCTCACCCTATTTATATCTTTATCACTTAATCTTCTGTCCACTTTCTATATTCTCAACATCAGCGTATTGCATGTAATGTTCATTATCCTCAACATCAATGAATTATTAACAAAACCTCCTACAGTTGTCTGCTTTTAACTCTAATTATAACAAAACTAAACAATAATAAAATATTCACTCACAAAAGCAAATGAATCAATAACACCTAAACTAAACAGTCTTTTATTTCATGACAAACAGTATCAGTGTATAATTCATGCTGCCTTATGAGTCACCACAGTTGCATCCTGAACTTTTGATATTTGTCTGCTTTTTCGTATTGAGGACAACTTCCAATAAATTTGCTTTTTGCATATAGTCCTACTTCCAAATAATTGTTTACTTTTTGTCAAAGTCCACACAGGCAAGTTCAATTGCTTTAGAACACCCTTTGATGAGACAAGTTATTCTCCTAAAATGTCAGAAAACTGTTAATCTCACTTTAACATATCTACTGTTAGGCTATTCACTCCTACGACAGTTAACTTTATGATTTCTAACTTTTCTCTGACTGAAACTCTCTTTCCCTTGACTTTACTTTTGGCTCTCTTGTCTCTCATCTGGTTGCCGCATTTTTATATCTCTCACTGAGGCATTCTAGAAATCTTCGTAGCCTTGACATCAATAACTTACAAACACACCTTCCAATAATCGTCTGCTTTTAACTCTCTTATTATGAAAAAACAAATCAATAATGAAATATTAACTCACAAAATAAATTAATTAATACTACCTACACTAAACAGTCTTTTATATCTGACAATCAGACATCCGATGCTTGATATTTTTGCCATTTCAGACAATTGTCATTTTCCTCTTAGTTGATTAGTTTCAATCATTTATAGCTACTGCACCATTGGACTTTTTGTTTTTCATACAACTCTTTATAACTATGCTCATATTCAAATGTACCTTTTAAATTTCTTTAAAGACATTAGCTATAGTTTAGAATGTTGACCTTGCACCTACACCTAACTTATAACTTGATTTCAATTCCTAAAGCCACTGGAAAGTCCATACATCAGAATGTGCCCAATTTTTTTCTACTCCACTAATTTTTAAATACTGTGGTTTGCAACACAAACTGTTCAGTACTGTAATGCCATGAAGTACAAGTAGGATAATCGTACTTGAATTAGTGTTTTTTATTTTGAGTAAAAGTAATTCACATACTGAATGTGATGAAAATAGTAGTGCTATGTACAGAGAAGCTAATTGTAATTTTCAACTTGAAATGGCCACTAATTATTAGCCATATTAACAATAAAAAAAATATTTTTCTACTTAACTAGGTCCTTCACCCATTCCTGAACCTCCCACTGGGCCTGTTCCCTTGACAACAGTCATGTCACCTGAAGAGCTTACTGGAGTGAAATCACCAGTCCCAGAAACCTGGACAGTGCCACTTGAAACAAAGAAAGAGCTTGAGTGGACCAACTGTTATACTGCAGGTAAGGTCGATCAGAAAGTTGACTTGGTGGTTTCAGTGAAATGTTGTTTCTGTTATATAAGTATATTCAGTTATTAAGTAGGTTCATGAAGTGACAGCTTGTTTTTATTTGTGTGTAGGTATATACAATCAATAAGTTGTTTGGAGTGGATTTTTAATAATTGTCCATACTCACCCCATTTAGTGTATGTGTGCATATATGTTAATGTAATATACAAGTGTTTTGTAAGTTGTCAATTTTATAGCTCTTTATAATGTCACAAGTCCTACCTGCAACTGTTCTGTAGATCAGAAGGTGTGATCTCATTAGTAAGTTTAAAATATTAGAATAAGGAGATTTCTAATACTAATTTATGTTATGTCAATTTCAAAATATACTAAAAAGTATAAACTGCCGCTAACTAAATAATGATGAAAAAAAAAAGACACACTTTCATGTTATAAATCTAGCATAGATAATGTGAAAGGCAAACTGAGATGAATTCTATGTAAAGAGTTTGTAATACAACAAAGATTACTAGTTTTGAAATATGTGACAGATGACAGTATACTAATATTACGTGACCCATCTTGCTGTTTAACAGCTTGATATTTGTATTATGTAGCTGATATAAAGCGAATGAAGTGTCCTCCAGACCTGCTAGCCAAGTCGAAACTACTCCCTGAAAATGGTGAACTTATTGAATCAGGTGTAAGTAGATCTTGGTATTCAAGGTTTGTTCATAAGGGATTCCACACATACACTGATCTTACAGTTCTTTTAGAAATATTAAAATTGTTAAGTTACTAACAAATCATAACGTGACCCAATGTATATTGTATAGATTAATCTTTTATTCCACTGTATATGAGCCATGAATATGGCAATGCCATCAGGACTGTAACATAATTTTTCTTTTCAAATTTTATCACACAATATACACCTAGAAAAAAAGTTAAGCACCCCCGTGTTTTTTCAAGTGATTCAGATTCGA